TTTTCTTTTCTTTTCTTTTCTTTTCTTTTCTTTTCTTTTCTTTTCTTTTCTTTTCTTTTTTTTCTTTTCTTTTTTTCTTTTCTTTTTTCTCCTTTCTTTTTTCTTTTCCTTTCTTTTCTTTCTTTTCTTTTCTTTTCTTTTCTTTTCTTTTCTTTTCTTTTCTTTTCTTTTCTTTTCTGTTTATGTATTTATTTAGAGAGTGGGAGAGTGTGTGTGCATGAGCAGGGGGAAGGGCAGAGAGAGAGAGGAAGGAGAGAACCCTAAGCAGGCTCCACACTGTCAGTACAGAGCCCGATGCGGGGCTCAATCTCATGAACCGTGCGATTATGACCTGAGCTGAAATCAAGAGTTGGTCACTTAACCTACTGAGTCACCTGGGTGCCCAGGACTTTCAAGTTTTTTGAATATTTGTAGAATATCTTTGGGAATCTGAACATCCTTGGCTCTACATCTTTCTTCAAGTTATTTCCCTTCAACTCTGTTGAAATTGTATTTATCTTTTAACTGTCTTGATTCCCCGCTCTACCAGATAGAATCTCTCTCTCTCTTTGAGATTCAACTCCCTCCCACCTTTTTCTGAAATTCCAAAAATTTTTTACTTTTCCCTATTTTACTCACTAAATTTTTGTTTCAATGATAATTATTTATGTGGTCATCACTCCTATGAGACTGTAAACTCTCTGAGGGAAATGTCTTAGTGATTTTTAAATCCTCTGTGTTCATCCTTTCCTTCCTTCTTCCTTCCCTCCCACTATTCCTCTATTCACATAGTCATCTTATAAATATCACGTGCCTATGGTGTGCCTGCATAGGTTAGGGGATGCAACGAGCGTGGTTGCTACCTTCCCAGAGTTTGCTCTCTAGTGTGTACTGTTCATCAGAGTAGCTTAGACAAAGCTGTCATTCAGTATTTGTTTGTTGATGGAATGAAGCGGAATTGAGATGTAGCTATATTTTGAGAATAGTCCTCGTCTAAATCCCAATTAAGTTTCCTACACTTTATGCAGCAGTGAAATCTACATTGACTGGCTGCTTTTCCTTTGAATCCATGAAGGGCATTCGATAAGAAGAGGACAATTTCGCTCCCCGAAGCGAGCTTGGTCTTCCTGAGTCATTTAAATATCAGGATGAAATACTAATGACAGATATCGCTGCACAGAAAAAATATTTATTTCTGATGCTTATAGACAAAGCCTATGCTAGTTTTGGATGTGTGTTTCAGGCAGTTGAGAAAGCCCTCTTTCAAACATGTGTACATGACCACACAACCAACGTCACTCATTTTTAATGCTGCAAAAATGGTATTGTACCTCATATAAATGCTCTTGCTTCCTTCCCTAGATTTGATCCTGCTTCCTACCTGACATTTTGCACCACACCCTCTTGTTTGTTGTCTCAAGGATCACGCTCAGAGAACATTCATAGTACAGGGGCATTGAAAGCCACCTCTACAAATGAAAATATTGAAAATTCAACCTTTTGGTTCACTCCCTCATTTGCTTATCCTTATACCACTGGGCTTTTTCCAACTTCACAGATAACAGAGAGCCACTCACTGTCCTTAGAAGCAACTCATTTCCCTCCTCACCCTCTCTAATAGTTCTGTTGGACTCCTTTCCCTGGAGCTGAGAGACACTGAAACGTAGCAGCAGGCTGTGTCTAGACAGGCACAGGTGCTGTTATTTTGACCCCGTTTTTTCAGTTCATAGTTTATTAAGGAGGAAAGAGCAAGTCCTGTAGTAATTAATCGAAAATACCTTCTTTGGTTGTGTAAAAAGAATTATATAAACATGGCACATCTGAGGGTAACTCTGTCCAAGCCTCTGTGGCTCTGCATTATTCCTTGGAGCCTTTAGAGGGCAGCAGCACACAGGAGACTTGGGGCAGCATGTCAGAGAGGCAAACTCCCTACCAGACCAGAACCTTCTTCCCAGTCACCATGCCAAAGGTTGGTTTGCCAAGCTCTGGCCGCTCAGCCTCTTTCTTTCTTTTCAGTTCTCATTCTCTCTCTCTCTCTCCCTCTCTCTCTCTTCCCTCTCTCCCTCCCTTCCTCCCTCCCTCAATGTTAAAATTATACACTCTGATGAAGTCGCCCCTCAACCGGAAAATGAAAGCTCCAATGAAAAAGTTAGACAAGCCAACAACAACAAAGAAAGAAACCGGGAGAAAGGGGAAAGGGGGATGGTGAGGGGGAAGGATTTAAGAACAAGAAAAGGGCAGATGTTTCGTAAATATATGCAAAGCAAAACTGGGTGTACCCTGAACACTTCCACAGGGAAACAGACCAATCATTGTGCACTTCCTCCCGCCACACTGGTGGAGTTCTGCATTCAAAAAAAAAAAAAAAAAGAAAAAAAGTGTGGCTGGAGGCACCTGCCTTTCAACGGTCAGTTCTGACATTCTCACTGAATATCTCCCAATTGTCCAAAGAGAACAAAAACATTTTCATCTCCCCACTGCATACATTTCTCTTACGAGAAAAAGGGCTGCTTCAAGAACTGGAAAGGCATTTTAAGGTGACTGGTGGCTGGTTTTTAACTCTCATTGTGCCGGCCCTGGCAACAAGCTTTGGGCTGAAACATAGCAATGAGTAAGGTTGTGGATGATGCTGGCTCTTTCCTTACTAGACATATTGCGTGTGGAAAGAAATATGCATTGAAACATATTGATGAGATGGTAGGTATTAGGCATGTTAAACGCGTGGAAATTAACCAGATCGGTGGCATTTGATGTATATATTTCATACTTCTTTGCACATATTGCACACATACAGTGATGGCAGTGCTTTCTGCAACATATGGAAAATAAATATTTTATCCGTGTGAGCTCTTATCAGGCTCCTGGGGCTGTTGAGAGGCGAGTGCTCTCTTCCATCTCCCTCTCCCAATTTTCTCTCTTCACTGGGCCCCCACCCTCTCCTGCACATTAACATGCCTTCCACTTATCAGCCTGGATGGATAGGAAAGAATTAGTCAGAATCTCCTTTTGATAAATAATTACTCAGTCATTGAATCATGACAATTTAGACCAATGATGCTCTCCCCTCAATTTTGGGGGGAATGGTAACCATTTCCTTATTCTCTTTCCCCAAAAACCATTGGAAAGGATCAAGAGAGTATTTGGGGAGGGGGGAAGAGGGGAGGTGTAACAAATCACCCAATGGAACACAGTCCTACCATCAAGTAGCTGTGTGCCCTAGGCAAATTACTGTGTTTCTCTGGGCCTCATGTCAAGTGATTGGCAGAGTGATGGCACATGGTCAGTGCCCAATGATGGTAGCTCTGAGAGCATCAGTTCTATGGTTTTCATCGTCTCAGCTATAAGAAGGCACTTCCTTTATCTTAGTAATCTTTTTTAATGTCTGGACTCGGGCAGGGACAATGGACTGTAATTGTAGCAAAGGTGGAAAGAATGCTAGGATAAGCAATCTCCCCTTCAACACTTTGATCTTACTGTATTACCCTCCTGACACTGTCTTTCTGTTCACCTGTCTGTCATTGCTGCTCCTATACCAAAAGCTCCTTTTGAAGTTGAGGGTTAAGCAAGCTGCACCTGGACCATGGAAGTCTATCAAACCTGAGCACTATGGTCCATGCACTGAGGTAAACCCCTGGGATTCTCACTTATCATGTCTACTTACAACTTATCCCTTTACTACTCTAATGTTCCCAGATCAATTTAAGATGTTTTCATAATGAAAACATTTTATTCTCTCGATTTTTTCAACCTTCGTGGCAAGGCTGATTTATAATGTTTTTCAGCGTATTTCTCCCTCGCTGTGTCAGTCAGGATCCTGGCAAGAAACAGGTGGCACACTCAAAGGTTTTAGCCGGAGAGGGTTTACTTTAAGGACTGTATACTGAGGTGTAGAGGAGGTAAAGGGGCGTTCAAGGGATGGTGAAGCACCACCAGGCTAGCAGCGGGGGAAAGCTGTTACTCTCAGCTTTAAACTTAAATGGAAGGGGCCAGGAAGGCGTGGCATTTAGTCTAGTCAGATCTGCAGTTAGGGGGCTGGACAAGTCAATACCTTGCCGAACGCGGGCTCCGTGAGAGTGGGGATTTTTGTTTTGTTTGCTGCCACATCCCTAGTCCTTAGAGCTGTGTCTGCAACATAGTAAATGCCCAGTGAATTTTAGCTGGTCAAGTAAATATATTCACTTCCGATGTGTCAGACATTATACACATATTATCTCACTTAATTATCATAACAATCCAGATAAGTAGGCAGGGCTGCTGAGCGTGGCTGTGCAGGTGGTGTGGGAGTGGGCAGGTTTTCAAATCTAACACTTGTGCCCTCCGTACTCACCCCCAAGCCTTGAGACTGGCCCAGGGTACTGTCAACCCACTGAAGGGCATATTTTTGTAATTAGTCCACATTTTTATACTTTATTCACCTTAGTGGTTTGGTACCTAGCAAGTATGTAAGTTTTATTGCTGTTTCTTCTTTATATATGAGAGAGCCGAGTTTCTGAAAAGCAGAGCCTGCAAAAGTTAGAGCCCAATACGTCCCTGGTAGGACCTGTAAAGCATGAAAGCAGGTGTTGCCACACAGGTAAAATGCTTCCTAGGGCAGAAACGGATGCTCACTTGTGGACCTCCCTGTGTTTTTCAGGACACTGTAAGTCCTGATTTCCGGGTCTGGATCACAGTTCTCTGCAGGAAGGTAGGAGTGGTAAAGACTCTTCCTTCTCCCAAAGGATACAGAACCTGGGAATCCCAGCTATACCCTAGCACAGCTGTGCCACTGGCACCAGCACAGTTATGCTGGGATGCAGAAAAACCCAGAAGACCATCCAGATGTGGGAATTTCTAAGGCACTCCTTGCACTAAAACTTAAGGATGAATGAAGGTGTTCATACAAGTAAGTTCCTTGCCTGGATATAAAGAATTTTTTTTTTGTTTTTAAGTAGGCTTCATGCCCAGCACAGCGGGGACTCACAACCCTCAGATCAGAACCTGTGCTGAGGTCAAGAGTCAGATGCTCCACCAACTGAGCTACCAGCAGCCCCTGAAGAAACTATTTTTGCTCTTCGTCATATCTTTGGTCCCCAGTAGTACTGCAGATCGCTCTGATGGTCCCCATGTCTGTGCTGTCCAGGCAAGCCTGCCTGTCACCTACACAGCCACTACCACCAATCACCATCCAGGAGACTGAAAGCATTAAAGGTGAAAAGCAATGCAAAGAACAAAACAAAACAAAAACACCAGCTTTATCCCTTTGGGTATGATTTATGCCAGAATAGCTAAAGACGTAGAAAATAGGAATGTGAAAATCCTACCTGAAAGCCTAAGAGGGATGTTAGTCTCCCAGGGTTAGTGTTTTCCAGTAACAGAGATGTCTGTAAAACACCATCCCGTTACCTGCCTCATACCATACAGGAAAGCTTGAAAACACAACTAGAACGAGGTTTTGTCCTAAAATGTATAATTAAGTTATTTTGCAGGCAGAGCCTCTAAATAATTTAAATTTCTGGCTTTTCCAGGAAAAAAAAAAACGCATATATTCATCTGTTACTTTTAGCACCGGTTAATGAATACTTGATACCAAACTAAGTGTTTTCCTGGAGGCATCGTATCTCCCACCCCAACTTATTTCTGCACCTTGCCTTGTAAGGGCTGTACTTCTCCTACATCAATGGCTGACACAGAGGAAACTAAATCACACTCACACAGCCATGCATCCAGAGGGCAAGGTTGAGCTGAAAGCAATGGCTGCGAGACGTGGCTGAGGAGCCCAGAGTCCACAGGGAGAGCGTTGGCCTCCTAAAGGAGCAAGGAAGCAACAGCCCAGTGCCGGCATGCAACTCAGACAACAGGCAGATGCGGACGACAGAGCTGGCTCATGGATCTGAGCAGGGTGGCATGAAATGACAAGCTGCGGTGAGAGTCAACAGAAGGTGACAAGAGGCAAAGAGGGGGCGCGGGAGCCGCCATCGCTTAGGGTGGGGGTGCAGACGACCAGGCAGAAGAGCACCAGGCCCTGCAAGGTCTGCCCGGGTCTGGCTCAGCACAGCCCTCTGGTGAGGAGGGCGCGATGCTGCTCAGGGCAGGCGTGGCAGGCACCCCACGACTGAGTCTGGTGACCTCACTGTGTTCCGGACACGAAGCCATCTAAACTTTCATCTGCATGAAAGTTACAGCTGTGTGAGTTTTGTTTGTTTGTTTGTTTGTTTTTTAAACTGGGCGAACTAAGAAGCCTTTCGTTGGAGGCAGGGTGTACTCACAGTAGTTTCCAAATCAATGGTGTCACTCTTCAGGTAAATCACTCCAAGGCTTGGGCCTAGTGCAGATGTTCATTGGGGCAGGGAACAGAGAGCGGCTGCATCTAGAGCAGACAAGAAAGACAGGCTGTTAAATGATAGGTGATGGTGATCATTCACGTTGATGGAGACAGATCATTCACGTTGATGGGACTCAGGTGAGAGTCTGGGCCTGCACGTTTGCACCAGAGAGCAGCACGACAGGGGAGGCAGAGGAAGAAAAGAGGATGTCACCCAGGGTCCGTTCTCAGGGTGCCCACCTGACGGCCGGAGTGGTCTGGGATCTTCCACCACACCCTGTCTGTGCAGATGGAGTTGATTTTGTGGTGGGGAGATGCAAGCCTGCTTGAAAGATGGGGGAGGGTGGGGTGTCCTTCAACCTTGTCAAGCCAGCTCTTCTTCTGGTGTCCTTGACTCTACTGTAGCCCCTCCTGCTTCGCTGCCTAGTTCTTACCTGTTCTAAAACCACCATTGGGGGTGCCTGGGTGGCTCAGTCGGTTAAGCGTCCGACTTCGGCTCAGGTCACGATCTCGAGGTCCGTGAGTTCGAGCCCCGTGTCGGGCTCTGGGCTGATGGCTCGGAGCCTGGAGCCTGTTTCCGATTCTGTGTCTCCCTCTCTCTCTGCCCCTCCCCCGTTCATGCTCTGTCTCTCTCTGTCTCAAAAATAAATAAACGTTAAAACCACCACTGGCCTGGCCAAGGTCTGAGCTCTTACTGTGACTCCGCCCTATACTATGGAACCTCCACTGTCTCCTGTGTCCTCTAACCTGTGGCTCTCAGCCTTAGGGGCTACAGGACTGACCTCTGATTGTCTCCAGCCTCGCACCCAGAGGTCCTTCCCCAGGTCTTGCCCCTTTGGCCACACGGAGCCCTGACAACCACCTTATTCCCGAAACTGTCCTCCCTTCTCACTGGAACACTGCATTATCCTGACTTTCCTCCCACCTCTCAGTTCTCTCCTCTGCCTCCTTTGCTGGCTTGTCTTCTTTCTCCTGTTCCCTAAATGTACCTATTCCTCAAGATTCTCTTCTCAGGCTTTGCCTACACCCACCCTCCATGAACTCAACAATTACTTCTCCATAGCGAACACCCACATGACTATCTTTAGTTCCTGCTTGTCTACAGAGCTCCAGATCCACATTCTTAATAGCCTCTGGTTATTGGTTCATTCACTCCTTTGTTCATTCGTTCATTCATTCATTCATCTATTCATTCATGCGTGTTTGCTTAGCATCTATCAGGCACCGGGAAAAGATGAATAAGGTAGGGCCACTAACTTCACACCTCCATCAAATACAGCACAGGCACGTCTAATTCAGAAAGTTTAAAACAGAATTCATTGCCTTCCCTCAAACTATATTCCCATTTCCTGCATCGATCGGTACCCTCTTCACCCAGTTACTTGGTCCTACCATGGAGGAGTCATCTTCAATGCCTCCTTTTCTTTTGCTTCTCACATCCAATCAGCTGCCAAGAGATGTGGTTTGTGCTGAGGCTGTGCTTCCTAAATCAACACCTACTTTCTATCCCAATACCTATTTGTCCCTTTATCACCTGAGCCTGGGCTCATGCCAGGGCCTCCCTATGGCTTTGCTTCCTCCAGGTCCTTTTTACCTCTAGCCAGTCCTTCACACCAATACCACATTAATTTTCCTCCAGTACCATTCTAAACATATTATTCCTTTGCTCTTTGCCTAGTGGACTAAATTCAAACTTCTCAGTTTGGTATTCAACGCCTCTACAAGATAGCCCCAGTCTAATTTCTACTCCTTTACTCCTACACAGCGGCAAAGTTCCGTTCTTTTGCATCCAAATTCCACCTCATTTATGAAGCCTTTCCCAAAGGAAAGTGTCCTGAGTCCTCAAGCACTTTCTGCACTACTCCCTTTGCACGTTCTACGGACTCGGATTGTTATTTATGTAATTTGGCTCCTTCTCTATAAGCTCCTAGGAAGTAGAGACAGTTTTTACTTGGTGTGCCCCTGTAGTGTGCAATGCCTTGCACACAGACTTGCGCTCGGCTGGTGTCTGCTGAACCAAAGTTAAAAGGAATCAAAATTCTTGCTTAGATTCATGGAAATGGAGACTGAATTGGAAAGACATGAAAGTTCATCACCTCTCATTTTTCAAATGAGATTAAGGGAACTTACTTGCTCAAGGCCACATCCCTGTTCCTGGTTGAGCAGCAATAACTGATAGAAAAGGTTACGAATCTTTAAATATCTATCCCTGCTTGCTCGGCACCAATAGGCCCAGAAGACCGTTGACAGTGACCAGATGAGAGAGAGTGAGGGGCTAATGGGGTACACAGCCAGCAAGCATATACTGGGTTCCAAGATACAAAGAATTTTGTTTCACTTGTTCACTTCAATAAACTGAAATAATAAATACCCTTTTATAGATAAATGACGTTAAAAAAACGAGGTGGATTTCAAAGAACAAGGAAGTAAACCTTTCTAACATGATCCACAGAGACAATTATGAAAATATTGCAAACACCACTGGGGTGATAAACTCAGGGTGAAAACCAGGATGAAGAAATTCCTCATGCTTTTGAAAAGCAGTGGGCTCAGCTAAAGTTCTTGGTGAAAACATGCCATAGTAATTCTATGGTTAAATTCTCACCTTGTGGAACCAGAGGCTGTTGGCATTCCTGCTATAATGCAACCCACATCAGTACTTTTTCCACCTAGTTTTGTGTGGGATTTATCCTATAAGTTTGTTTACATTCTCACTTATTTTTCTCTCCTTGTGTCACGACACTTGTGGAAATGCATAGGTGAGTGCTCCCAGGTCTGTTCTAACTTTCTTTCCTCTCATGATAGGAGAAACAGTAATTGCTTAATCTCCTTTCTATCCTCATCCTCAACCAGAATCCTTTCCTCTCACCCAAAGATGAAAATCTCCACCCCGTAAACACATGGGGATGACAGTGTTCACCTAGGTGAAAAAAACAGGCTTTTCCAGGAATCTCCGTAGTGTTCACTTGGCAGGAAAGCTGGGCTCTTAAATGGTAGCCTACAGTGCTATAAGACCTCACCTGCCTCTCTCAGGTGAGTACTTACTCATTGTTACTCACTGGAGGAAAAACTTGGTACTATTAATCATATTCTTTTTGGCCAGTATGGTGGAGCCATGCTATGAATCGAGACATCCATTCAATAGCAACACCCCAGTAGCCACATAAACAGCAAATTGGGCTCAAGAGCTCTCTATAGTTCTTACTAAACCATCTTATGGCCAGACAGGTTATCAACACTTCACCAGATATAGCTTCCTTCTCTTTTCTCCCCCTGGCAACTACATTAAAATGATAAAGGATATCACTGACTGATATGTCTAGTACATTGCAATGAAAAATCACCTGAAAGCATACAAATTCATTGTGTAATTAGATAAGTGTACATTTTAAATATGCCTAACATTTGACTTAAGTTGTGCATTTTATAATTAAATGGAGATGGAATCTTTCTGTTCTTTACTCAAACTCCCCTTTCTTAGCCTCACATCCCACTGCTGTAATCTTCCTTTCATTTTTTGGCAGCCTGTCACCTAATCCCCCTTCTTACTTCCCTGCATGCCTCACCACACACCTAAGGGGGCTATTAGTCAGAGCTACTGCACAGTGTGGTATATTTTGTTGCTTAGAGGGTGGTTAGGCTCTAAAAAAGACTCCACGAGGGGCACCTGGGTGGCTCAGTTGGTTAAGCATCAGACTTTGGCTCAGGTCATGATCTCGTGGTCCGTGGGTTTGAGCCCCGCATCGGGCTCTGTGCTGACAGCTCGGAGCCTGGAGCCTGCTTTGGATTCTGTGTCTTCCTCTCTCCTCTCTCTCTGCCCCTTCCCTGCTTGCACTTTGTCTCTCTCAAAAATAAATAAAGCATTGAAAAAAAAAACACTCCATGAAAATGCCTTCATGAGGTTTCATATTTATTCTATGCAACGGCTTTCCATATCCAATGTACTCATATTTTAAGTCAAAAGATCATCTTTTTTTTAATTTTATTTTTTATTTTTTAAAATTTACACCCAAATTAGTTAGCAAAAGATCATCTTGAGAGGCTATTGGAGCTATGCATGCTTCCCAGAATCTGGAAATCTAGCTGTTCTCTCTGCCTCTTACATCATCACTGTAATAAAGAATCTGCTCTTGGAACCCAGCTGGCAAAGTTCTTGATGGTGTCAGAGGCAGGGGAGACAGTGGGTCATTTCCACTCCAGTCTGTTTTATTGTTGTTGACGGCTCTGTAGCTCTGTCTTGCAAGCCCTTGGAGAGAAGAGCTGTTATGTAACACACTGCCACAGATCACTGCATGGAATTTTCTGTGGAGGTCTCATTTCACTGTGGCTCCTCCCATTCTTTGGAAATCAAGCCAAAACATTCTAAAATGACACACGGGGCCTTTGTGACCAAAGCTTACAAAAAAGATAATAGTAACAATAATAGCTACCATTTGTTAGATGCCTACATTTTTGTTAGGGATGGCATGGGGAATTTTTACACATAAATACATCCTCACTTAATCCCCACAGCAACGTTGTGCTGAAGGTATTAGCGTGCCCATTTGACAGATGAGGAAAAGTGAGACTAAGAGAGCTCAAGTAACCACTCCAAGATTAGAAAGCCATGGATAGTGAGGTCAGAATTCAAGGTCAGATATGAGCCCGATCCCTCTGACTTTAAATCTGGGTTATTATTATTATTATTTTTTTTCAACGTTTATTTATTTTTGGGACAGAGAGAGGCAGAGCATGAACGGGGGAGGAGCAGAGAGAGAGGGAGACACAGAATCGGAAACAGGCTCCAGGCTCCGAGCCATCAGCCCAGAGCCTGACGCGGGGCTCGAACTCACGGACCGCGAGATCGTGACCTGGCTGAAGTCGGACGCTTAACCGACTGCGCCACCCAGGCGCCCCTATTTTTTTTAATTATACAACTGTTCCAACACAGCATGGACACATTTCTAGTTCCCACTGTGACCTCAGCACAAGAAAGAGGCTTATGCTATTTCCATGATGATTCAGAGCCACTGGAAACACAAAAACCGGGAGCACAGACCTCAGGT